TGTGTACACGTTTAAATGTGTATATATTTTTATTTTTATTATTCTTTTTCTGTTAAATAGTGGCAGAGGTTATAAGATTCTTTTCTTCTTCTACTTCCTTTCATTTTATGAGATTTGTGTTTCTTTTTTGTTGTTGTACTGAAATTTTTGTTTTTAATCGAAATGAATAAACTATTAAACTAAACTGAATGTGAACATTTCTAAAACTATGTTGTACAACCTCAGTGACAAATGTTGGTTGTTGCTAGGCAGTACTTCCACACTCCTGTTAGTCATCTTCTTCTTCTTCATGTATTTTATTGGCGGTTGGAAAACTCCTCACATCTACATTGTTAACATATCACACCTGTGTCCATTTACCTGAACGAGAGGCAGAGCTACAAAAGGCTTTGGAGTCCTCATTTGATTTACTGGTCTTTGACTTGATGTCTGGTTTTGAATTGGGAGGCAGGAGTTAGTGGGTTTGCTGCTGATTGTTGCTAAAGTCATGGGATTTTTCTTTAGGTAAGTGTTATGGATCTGTTTAAAAGTTTTAGTTGGCTTTAAAACAAAAACAACTTTAATTCATTTTTACTTATCTTCCCAGATTTTTGCTGCTATCCATTTTTGCCAGTGGATTAGGTCAAGTAAATGGTAAGATTAATTAAAATGCTTGATTTCCATGAGAAAACTAAACCAATGTTAACGGTTTAAATACAGACCTGCCATCACACAAAGATGACAAGTACTATCTGCCACAAATCTGTTTTTGTAACTAAAATATCTTGTCAACAGCTGACCATACTGGATCTGAAAAATATAAAGATGAAGTACTGATTTTTCATTCTCGCTCAAATAATGAGCCTAGCTTTCCTGTTGAGCCTGACTACCCAACAGGAGGCCCAGTGGGTCCCATGTACCTGCCCCAGGGGCCTAAATGGCACAATAAGCTTATGCCTCCCCAGCAGCAGTATCCTGGCGTCCCTCCCATGGGCCCCAGGCCGCACCAGCAGCAGTATCATGGCGTCCCTCCTATCGTACCAGAGCCCCAACAGCAGCAGTATCCTGGCGTCCCTCCCATGGGCTTTAGGCCGCAGCAGCATCATGACATCCCACCTATGGGCCCCAGGCCGCAGCAGCATCCTGGCGTCCTTCCCATGGGCCCCAAGGCCCACCACCAGCAGCAGCATCCTGGCGTCCGTCCCATGGGCCCTGAGCCCCACCACCAGCAGCAGCATCCTGGCGTCCGTCCCATGGGCCCCAAGCCCCACCACCACCAGAAGCAGCATCCTGGTGTCCCTCCCATGGGCCCCAAGCCCCACCAGCAGCAGCA